GCTTTATGGATTCAGCTAGCCAACATAACGAATTAAAAATTAATAAGGAGTTTCAGTAAAGATGGACTAAGGGAGTTAAGAACACTTGTTATTTTCAACTTCACAGAGCACTCAGGAATTTCATTTTTAGACCGATATTTCTGCACTGCCTTTGTTAGAGGAGCCTACGAAGCTTGAACAAATGGAAGATTTCAGAGAACTGAAACAGAAGTGTTCTGAAAGGTCTAGCCATTGATTTTGCTTATTCTGTCATTTTGTTCGCCTCTGATTAAAATATCAAACCAAGAAAGAGGGGCGAGCCATGACCTAATTGAGGAAACAAACCTTAGGATTAAGGTAGCCCACCTTTAAACCAACTTTTCGATCTTGATATTTTTCAAAGATTTGCAGCTATCAAAGCTTAAAAGAGAATTTGATTATTTTGATATCCAATGAACTCCTGTTTTAGGATTTGCTTCAATTGTGAAACCTAGAAGGAGGTAATATTTTTCAAAATTCCTTTTGATATTTTTCAAAATTTTGAAAATTCAAAGGAAGAAAAGCATTTTCAAACAAGATAAGTTCTCTGGAAGCATATCTTGGAATTCAACAAATATCTCTTTGAAGCTCAAGATCGAAGCTGATCAAATGAAGCCATTTTTTGGGCAAAATTTGATAGGGGAAGGAAAATAAATTATCTTAGGTTGAGGTTTGCAAGAGTACACCCTGGTGGAAATGAAGACAAACTTAGTCAGGGATAGAATGAAGACTGCTCATGTAATTATTCCCTTCACAGATCAACATTCTGTACATAAGATTTAAACATGTTGAAGAATCCAAGATCAAGAATCACAAATTCAAGATTCCAGAATCAAGAGTCATCAAGACTGACAACCAGAGATTGAGATTTCTCTCCAAACCCTAACATATTTCGCATATACATTTTAGGCATACATAAGAGCATTGCATCCATAGCATCGTATATGTGCATAATTTTGTAGATTCATGCTAGAGTCAATTTCAACTTCATAGCGAAAGATATTGAACTCGAAAGAGATGCAATTTACAAGTGTGGATTTTAACTCACAACGAATAACGTCCAATTAAAAGTTCAATTTCACAGCGAAAGAGCCATCCACGATCTCAACTTCACGAGGAAGGATATCGTGCCCGATGAAGTGATTTAGTGTCACGACAAACATGTCATCCACATATTTGACTTCCTTAAGTCAACGGTTAGAGCTTCTGAAAGGATTTCTTTAACATGAAGGAACAAGAAGATTATCGATCACCTTTGAGATTGTTTCTCTCGAAACAAAGGGTCGTCTCGCTTGAGACTAATTTACTCAAAACAAAGTTTTGTCTCTCTTGAGACAGTTTCTCTTGAAACAAATTTTGTCTCTCTTGAGACTGTTTCCCTTGAAACAAATTTTGTCTCTCTTGAGACTGTTTCCCTTGAAACAAAATCTTTGAATATGTTTTCCTTGAAACAAATTTTGTCTCCCTTGAGACAGTTTCTTTTGGAGCTAAGTTTTGTCTCTCTTGAGACAGTTTCTCTTGAAACAAATTTTGTCTCTCTTGAGATTGTTTCCCTTGAAATAAAGTTTTGTCTCTCTTGAGACAGTTTCTCTTGAAACATCAATCTTTGAATATGTTTCTCTTGAAACAAAATTTTGCCTCCCTGGAGACAGTTTCTCTTGAAACACAAAAAACCTTTGAAACCGTTTCTCTTGAAACACAAAAAAACCTTTGAAATCGTTTCTCTTGAAACACAAAAAAACCTTTGAAAATGTTTCTCTTGAAACACAAAGACCTTCGAGTTCGACTACACTCAGCTTCAAGGGCACATCATTTACAGCATAACTCAAGGCTATAAGGGTTATCTACCAAAGACCTTAGAGTTCAATTCCATTCAGCTCAAGGCACATCATTCACAGCATAGCTCAAGGCGAGAAGGGTTATCTGTCAACAAAATTGTCGAGTTTAGCTCGATGACACCTTAATCACACTACTGTCTGACTGTAATCAAGGTTTTCAAGTCGAGAAGAAGACATGGGTTAATCGTGCCTTAGTGACAAAAAACCGTTTTCTAGTAGTATAACTTAAGTCAAGAAAAGCTATATGTCAACGAAGATTACGGAGCTCGATTTTGAGGGACTATCAACCACATGGTGGAGACAAGGAACTATTTTCCAGCTGAATTTTTAAAATCAAGGTCTTTAAACCGAGAAGAAGACCGAATTTGATTATAATTTGGCAACGAGAAGCCTCAATCTGATTCAAATTCCGAACTACGGCTCCAATCTCGTATCATTTCAAGGTGAACTCGACTTCGCGACGGAGGAGTCATCCACAACACAATTCGACAAGGAGTTATTCTTGATTGAAATCAATTTCCAACTCCACCGAACGAAAATTTGTTTCCTTTTGTCTTTGTCCTATTTTTCATTCCACGAAAAAAGACAAAGAGGGACAGCTGTAGACACTAATTTTCAGTCAAACAATCGTCGGTCAAACCGAGGTTATCATCTCTGCGTTTTTCTCGCCGCATCGTTCCCGGATATCTCGGCAGCACGAAACCAGAAAGCAAAATAAACATCCACAATTTCACTCGAATCAAAACTCCCTAAAATAAGGTCTTTTTACTACTATAAATAAGTGTACTGAAAAAAAATGAAGGGGGAGGGTTTTCTACTCAGAAATTTCATATGGAAAATACGAGGAAATACAGACTAAAAATACAAAGAAGAAAGGAGAACAAAAAGATGAAAATCTTACCTGATCAGTGAGCCTTCACCGGAGGAAGAGGGAGCCCTTTAGTGGCCTCAAGTAGTCTATGTAACACCACTTTGTGCTCTATTCGTTTGGGAATTCTAGTGGATGGTTGTATGGGTCGTTTTAATTTTTAAAAGGCTTTATTTTTCGTTCGGGTTTGAGGGAAGTTGGTTTAGATAGTGATTTTCATCATGGAAAATTAAAAAGAAAGGGAGATGGAGATAGATGCGGCAGAAATATGGTGAAAGAATGAAGACCACACGTAAAACACTAGGGTTTTAGTGTTTGGCGGGTTTTTTAGGTTAATCATTACCAGGGTCATCAAAGAGTTTCATATTTTCATTTCTTGTACTCTTTTATTTATTTATTTTAATTTGATCTCTTTGTGTATATTGATTGTTCCCCTGAATTTTCAATTAATGCGATTTAGTCAATTTCCTTATTTTTTTATCTAACACTTATTTATTTATAAATATGTTTTTTATATTTTCATTTTTTATTTATATTTTCTTTCTTTTCATATGTATATACGTATTTTTTTCTCTCCTTTTTATTTTATTTATTAGATATTATGTTATATAATTTTTATTTTGTATTTTTTCTTTTACTTTTACCTTTTTACTTTTATTTATATATTTTCACCTAGATTTAATAATTTTTATTTTATTTAATTTTTTCCTTTTGATTTTATTATTTTGATTTTTTATGTTTTTCTTTGATTTATCTAACATTTATTTATTATTATTTTTCTAACATTTTTGACTTTTTAGAAGAATTCCAATCGATCAAAGGTAAGTATTCGAATTGAATGTTTTAAATTTTAATTTTAATTTTTAACTTTTCGCGACTAAGACAACCGACAAATTAATTGGTATCGAAAGGGAGGTTCAAAGGTGCTAATCCTTCCTTGACCATAACCGACTCCCGAACCCGATACATTTCTGGTGAAACACAGACCAGGTAAGATGGTGTCCGATCTACCTAAATATCGTTTTAAAATGATCGATGGCGACTCCAATTCGTTTAATCCAAGTCGAAGCCCAATTCCGGGCCCAACCGAAAGACGATTGCGACAAAAATAATACTTCATCTAGAATTCAAGGTGATCAATGTAACAATTAATAACATAATTGATTAAAATGTAATAAATCAATAATTTAATTTACCAAAACTTAAATATTTTGAAATTGAGGAATAAAAGTGTACAAATATAAAAGAAAAGTAACTAATCTAATAGTTTACCCTTAATTATCATAAAAGTATCATAGCATCCATGTAATTTGAACCAACTTTAAAATTCAAAGTACTCGATTACAAGTTATATGTTAACGTTTTGCAAAATATTAAAGATTTAGGGAAAAATTATAATTTTCAGAAATCCTGTAAGGTATTGATACCTATTGAATAAAAAATATATAACTTTGGTGTAAATTTGATTTTTTTTTTTAAGATTTTAAAATGATATTTTGATATAAAATGTCTGTCGTCACTCTATTTATAATTTAACGATCAGGAGAATAATATCAAGATTAAATATTCAAAACATGAATATAATCAAAGGTGTACTTCTTGATTTGGTGCGTGCTTTGAGATTAACACTAAGAATCTATTCAGAGAACACCGGCCCATTTTGTAGTAGTCATGAATGGAATTCATTCCTTTGCTGTTCTAAAGTGACATTAAGCAGATGTGGTTCCTCTGAAATTGTTAGCCTATTTTGTCATCATAACAAAATTTAAATCATTCAATGGGCAATTTTGCAGCAAATTTTGTACATTTCTTTAGACCAGTGGCACATGAATTGAAAACAATTCAAGGTAATCGAAATTGGAAAGCATTAACTTTTGCTTTAGGGTAGCTCATGCCAGTCTTTTCCCTTATTGGCGATGAAACAAGAAAATATGTAGATAAAAATCTATGGGTGGTTGAGTTGGGTCTCCATTATTGAAGACAAAAATCATCAAGTGAAATCCCCACTAAAACCCAAGTGTATCATGAATTTCAGAAAACAATGATTGCAGATACAGACTACTGAGGTTGTTGAGAATGTTGGAGAAAACCCAAATACCAAGTTCATTAGTCGTCATCAAGTCTTTGCATAAATGAAACAACTCTGTAGAAGATTGTTATTTTGGTCCATACTTGACCAATGGAGAAACAAAAAGTCCACGGTATCTGCAGACTGCAAAAATTAAAATTATCCCAAGTCACTGTAATTATGATCCGTTTCCCCATGTAATTGCAAAATTCATGGGAACAACTTATCTGACTATATACCAAATGTGACCGTCCGATTTTTCATCTTCTGCATCCATGCTGTCACCACCGGTGGTACTCGGCAGACCTTTAGCACGAGCACCGGCAGGGAGGGGACCCTGTGGAGATCCAGATTGTGAAATGTTTGCTTTCATGTGTTCATTATTGCACTGATTTTGAGCTGACTCTTGGCTGTTTCCTTGCCCAGCTGAAGAAGCCGGAAGCTTTCGGAAATGAAGTCTGAATTTCTGCACATAAACCCACATTCATTGCACCAACTCAGTAAAACATAAAGGATGATAACAAAACTACAATATGTTTGGATTTCATATGAAAATTGAACGTTCACCTGCAAATGGCTTTTCACTTCATCATTGGTGAGACCCTCAACTTGCATCAGCTTTCTAATCTGTTTAGGAGTTGCCACTGTGAAACATTAAGACATTAAAAAAGAAATCAGATTCCATTCTTTTAGTCCTAAAAAAGTCATAATTATATGAAATTGAGAACATATGATACAAACGTTCGATCAATTAAATCTGTCAACCTTTACTTCCAAAACTAAATAAATGAATCCATTAAATTTGATAACTCTATTGCAAAGGGGCCCTAACCTTTTGAACCTCCAAGCTGTTGAAGAGACTCAACAAATAGCCTATGAAGCTCAGGTGACCAGCACCGCCTTTGTTTCCTAGAATTCTGCATATGCGCCTGCTGTTCACGTTGTTGATGTTTGGTCTGAGACTTGATTTGATTTTGGTCTGAAGACAAGGAAGGGCTAAAACCAATTCCACAGCTGCCATTGCTCTTCAAAACTGACTTACAAGAACCCAATTCAGAACTTGGAAACATGAGAGAAAGTCCTAAATTTTCCTTATCCACTTGTCCCTTGAATCTTTTTTCATTACAAAATTCAATTGGGTTCTGTTAAATGCAATCCCATTAGTAATACTATCCCATAAAATAAGATTAAAACAAGACAGCTAGTTATTTAACAAAAACAATCAGACGGCTAGTTTGGGATTACCAGTTTCGGTTCTGGAACTTTGTTTGATTTCTTGCTGTGATCAACGCTGTCAGAATCAGAGTTCCAGAGTTGAACAGAACTCATCCAGTTTTTCTTGTCACCGCCATCTTTTTCCCTATCTACCCTTCCATTCTCCTCAAAATTCATCTTCAATGGCAACAACAACTCTTCTGTCACTGATAAATCCTCCATTTCCTTACACCGTATTTCTTCCTCCTTCAATCTCTCAATCACTAAAACCCCATAAAAACAATCAAATTAAATCACAGGAAAAAAAAAAGAAAAATCAAAATTAAACACGAAAATCTGAAGGAAAAAAAATACCATCTTTCAAGAGAAGCATGGAAAGAGGAAGTTCGCGTTTAAAGGCATCGATTTTCTTCATTTCATCTTCCAATCTTTTAACAAAATCACTAATCTTCAGTAATCTTTGAAACCCGTATTTGATCTTTGAAACCTCTTTCAGAAACTCTGATATGGTTCCTGGTACATAAGCTGAACTTAAATCCAAAGTCAACTCCATCACGTCACCTTTTTCCTTATATATGGACATGTAAAAGAGATTCAAGATCCGCTGCCTGTTTCACAAACGGATCGTCGCGTATTTTAAAGTTACAAGGCTGAAAACTCGGTACGGTAACTCAGCGATGTTTGTAAAGAATCTTTGTGGTTCTGTAAGGCCGATGCGGCGAATTGTTTAGAAAATGAACTTAAATATTATATTTTGTGCTTTTTTGGAAATTAAATTACGTTGTAGACGTTGTAAAAATTGACCATAAACAGCAGAAACATTAATAGGGTATACTTGTTTCTAGATTTTTTTGGTATTTATTATTCTTTCTTTTTTATACTAGAAACTATCTTTGTGAATCTAATAACTAAGGAGTACGTGTACGTGATTGTGGATTATTTTTAAGTATTTTTAAGTTTAAATTTTGTTATACAAAATATTGTATAAATTTACAGATCTTTCTAGATATAATTACATCACATTAAGTTTCATATATCACAGCAGATATTATATTATTATTTTTTAAAAATAATAATTTTTATCTCATTAAATTAAATAATTTTTTCTTAAATTATAAGAAAGTCTACAAAGATAAGAGTAGACAAATCATACGTATTAGAACTATTAAAAGTATAAAGTAATCGTTGAGAATAAAATAAGATGATATAAAAAACTCTTGAAATTCAATCAAACAATTTAAATAAATGATAGATACAAATAAATATTAGTAAAAGATAAATTCTATCAATACAAACATTAAAATACATATAATAATGATGACTCATTTACAAATTAGTTTTATCGCAACTCAACTGTGATTTACCTTCGATGATTACAAACATCTATCAATATCCAACTTAGGATTCAAAGTTAAAATAGATAAACAAGATAATCTGATAAATCCCATCAGATGAACGTGAAACTAAACCATGAGAAAGAACATGATATTTAAAATGTGTCGTACAAGAGCGAAAAAAGAATATGTTATAAGAGCAAAAATCGTTTATCATTTTCATAAAAAAAATGAGAAGACTAATAAAATAAAGAGATAAGAGGATGACAAAAAAGGGGAAAAGGGAAAAAGGGAAAAAGGGAAAAAAGTAAATTACGCGGATAGTATTTTTATGTTTAGAGTTTTTTTGATTTTGGTCAGCAATTTAAAAATTAAGGGGGAATGGTCCCTAACATTATCTATTTGTTGATTTTAGTCCATCAATCATTAATTTTAAATTAACCCCTTTTGTTTAAGTCCATAACATGCCTAAGGAACTAAAATCAAACGGGATTTAATGGCTAAGCGACTAAAATCAAACATATTGATAATGTTAGAGACTAAAATTAAATGGATTGATAACGTTAGGGATCATTCTTCCATAACTTTTAAATTGGTGACCAAATTTGGTAGACCGAAAACATAAAGAACTATCTGCATAGTTTACCCAAAAAAGAAATCAGCTATCACGTCAACATTGGTGTTATCATTGGTGATGAAAATATAAGAAAACTAGAAGAAAAGATAAACAATACAAGAGATAGAAAAAGACTAAGGAAGATTTTCTCATTAATGAAATTTTAAAATGATTTTACTAGATAAAAAAATTATGTATAATTTTACTATTTAATTGATATAAAATTTAAAATATTTAACATAATAAATTTCTTAGAATATTAAATTATCATAACATAAGTTATACCTTACGAATTAAACGACTTCAATAGTAAATGAATTGTCATTTTTTGAGGTCTCGATTTTTAACATTATGAATATCAGGGTTTTAGCGTTCAATATCATATGATTGAAAGTTAACTTTTAAACATATATTACTTGTACTTATCCCAGATTAATAAAAAAAAAATTTATACCCTTGAGTTTCCTAACCTAAAACAATGTAAATGGTTTTTAACCTAACAAGTTATTTATAACATTAATTAAAAACGTGTTTTGTTTCTAAAATTACAAATTCTCAACTCATATAAAATCCCATATATATATATATATATATATATATATAAACACTAAGCATTAATTATTAATAATATGATTAGAGATGGTCTTAATTCTCTACTAACCCTGTCAAAAAGAATCATTTTATATCACTTGTGCAAAAAAAGTTTGTTCTTCTTAGAATTCACAAGCTATATTTATTGTTAAACCAAGCACAACGTGAAATTATCCTTGGCTGTGTTTATTGTGAAAGATAAATAAATAAATAAAAATGCATTTCCCATTATTCCTTCGAAGAAAAAAGGTAAAAATTAAATACAAATGTGAATAGTGGGCAATTGATTTAATTAATAAATAGCCATCCATCGGAGACTTTGACCTATAATAGCAAGATGGGAAAAAGATGAAACAAAACTTGGAGGAAAGATTCCTTTTTTTGACAAAACCCACTTTATTTGATTGTTTTCGTTTTACTTTTGGGTAAAGTACACAAATGATCCCTTGACTATAGGGTATTACTTTATTAAGTCTATCAATTATTAAAAGCTACAAAATGGTTATTTGACTATGGAGGGTTACTTTTTAAGTCCCTCGACTATTAAAAGTTACAAAATAGTCACTTAACTATTCATTATGTTCTAAACTCTTCTTTTTTGTTAAAAATTAACGACATTCGAAGCTGAATGTTAACATGTTGACTTGGATATGATAAAATATGATCTAGCACTGAAGCCATCATTTTTTTAATGAAAAATGACGAGTTTGGAATATAATCAATAGTCGAATGATAATTTTGTAAATTTTAATGGTCAAGAGACTCAACAAAGCAACACTTTATAGTCAGAGGATCATTTTATAACTTTTAATAGTCGAAGGACTTAATAAAGCAATATCATATAGCCGAGGGACCATTTGTATACTTTACCCTTTACTTTTTTGGTGTTCTAGTAACATAAATTTAAGGGTAACATATATTTAGTATCTAAACTATTGATTTTGGCTCGTCTTAATATATGAACTTACATTTTTTTTCAAAATCATACCTAACATTTAGTTTTTGTTTCATTTTAGTACCCCGCCATTTAAAACTTAACGGACAGGCTGGCGAGGCATAGCTCCGGTAGACGGACAACCAATTTGAATGGTGGACCACAAGAGAATAATGGATTGACCAACGTAATCCAATTTAAGGCCCATTAGATAATTGAAAATGGAGATCGAATGATGAAGAAGTCAAAGAGTCCATCATTGATTTGGGAAGATTGAGGCATTTTTCAATGTGGAGACCAAAATTACTTTTAGGGTGTCAGAAAGGTGTGGGTTTAAAAGTTTGGGCTTCATTAGTTGACGAATTCGACGATTGACGATTGTAGACACGACGGTCAAAGAGCCGAACTGTTAAGTTTTTAACAATGAGATAGTAAAATGAAAAAAAAATGAATATTATAAATATGAATACACTAATAAGGGTTCTATGAATATAAATGCCCACTAAAGTTATAATACAATACTCTAAAAGAGATACTAGAAGTCTTGCTGCAACGGTGCTCCTCGAACGACTCAACTTAATAACACGCGAATGAAAAACATATGAATGATGAGCTTACAAAGCCCATCAGTATAATTGTTAATCTAGACGAGCGTTATGAATCTAAAAATCATAAGAATGCTAAATATATGGAACTATGTAGTAGGTACATGTATAATCTTAATCAAGTGCTATCAACTTAAGGTTTAACTATTCTATCGTTGAAGTAGGAGTCTCATGCTTCCGTTAATCCTCTTCTAAGGGCCTTGCCATGAGTACACCTCTAATGGGTCTCTAACCATAATGATTGTAACTGTTATGAATTATCTGAATGTGACACTAACACTATTGTGCATTATCTGAATACAACACACTGCTAGTATCTGGTCTCACATAACCATTAAACACTAGTTAACTGAGGGAACTCAGTGTCACATAGAATTGGTAAAATTCCTACTAAGTTGTTAAATGATCTTCTGGTCTAACATAGCCATTAGGTAGAGCATAGAGGGGGAACTGGTCATCACATAGTAATCAGTACAATTACCGCTCAACTACGTATTAGTTCGGTCTCACATAGTTGTCAACCCAAGCTTTAAAGATATATGTTGTACTGGATTGATACAACTACATATGCATATCTGAGGGCCCTAAGGACACACAACATGGACAATTCTCTACTAGGGAAACTGAGGTAGCCTAATTACACACTAATGTAGCTCGACAACTAAAGTGAGATCAACCTGTCACTAACTGCTATCTCGGTCGTTCTCTAATCTAGAACGTTGTGTGAAAGTTTATTAGTCTATTATTTCTGATAATTTATTAAGTTTCTCTATTATGGTCATTAGCACTAAAGGATGTTTTAGTCATTTCTCTAAGGAGATATCTATGATTTTCAAGATTTTACGATGAATATTGATTTTTCTATTCACATGTTGTATTATTTACTATCTTGATACCTGACTCAGGTTCATTACTTTGTAGTGATAGTCTAGTCGTTCTTACCATACTATCCCTCAATTTACCCTCAAATTGGAGGGATAAATGTATGTCATTGGTTCACTGACATTTTCGTAGTATATGATTCCTTAATTTTTAAATTTGATTATTTCATCATACCGCTTGTCGGTACATCCTCTTTAATGACCCTTCGTTCTTAGTTACTCGCTAAGAGGACTATAAGGGCAATTTGGTAATTTCAACCCCAAAGACATTTTAGTAACATCCCGCACCCGAGCTAGATGCCTTATCTCAATCAATATTAAACTCTTAACTCTTGAGTCTATTTGACATCTTGAGGTCACTCAACCACTTTAGGTATTGATACCATGCCTTCGGTATTGATACCAACTCATCTGGTATGAATATCAGTTTATCTGGTATGGATACTAATTTATTTGGTATGGATAGCGAGCATCCGATATTGATATTGATATCAATGGGTCAGTATCGATACTCCTCCCCTGAGTATCAATACTCCATGCTAAAATTGCCCAGATTTCATCCTAGTTCATCCAATATCTATATTGTTCATCCAGTCTTGATACTCAA